GTCCGGCGGCCTTTCTGGGTGGAGTTTGCATGTTCTCTCCGTGCATGCGTGGGTTTACTCCGGGTACTCCAGTTTCCTCCCACAGACCAGAAACATGCATGTTAGGCTAATTGGTAATTCTAAATTGTCCCTAGGTGTGAGTGAGAGAGTGAATGGTTGTTTGTCTCTATGTGTCCCTGTGATGGACTGGCTACCTGTCCAGGGTGTACCCCGCCCCTCACACAGTGAGTGCTGGACATGGGCAATGGCGACCCCCATGACCCATAATGGAAGAAGCAGGTATGAGATAATGGATAGATGGATATATATACACACATATACATATGTACACACACACAATACCCCGCCACCTTGTGTAAAGATATATTGGTGTTTAATATGTTCATCAAACGTTAGTGCTCTTTATTTAAAAAAATCCACATGTCACATTTTAGCATCCGGTTATTACAAACACAGATTAGTGTTAAATATAAATATTTCTATATTTATCACCACAGTAATAGTGTTACACACGTTAGTAGTTGTAAACACTCAAAATAAGAGATATGATAGTTTAGTGCTTGCCTATAACCTAAATATTTAAGGAGTAAACATTTTTAATAATCACTTTAAAAGTAACAAATGTTGTTTTTGGTGCCTGTTTGTTTTCCACATATATTAGTGTGTGTGATTGACAGGGATTTACTTAAAACACTTTATAGAACGGGGCTTTATAAAGTTTTGTCCATTTCCTTGTATTAGTTGACCGGCAGATCTGCCACATTCAATATGGCGGACGCTGCAACAGACTTGCGCCGCCTCACCAGTTGTCTGTTGGGGACGCCCTGGCAGATGACAATAGCCAATCAGTGATGGAGACAGGTTAGGGGAGCTTTGAATCAATAATGATGAAGGATTATTTAAAATGTGTTATAGGTTAACTCAAAAACCGCCGATCTGACTGCAAATCCGCCCAAATTATCACCACCAGCCCAAAGCAATTTTTACCCGCAAAATCAAAATGAAAACCAATCTGGCAACACAACACAGTGGTTCTCTTAGGAACCGTCAACAAATTACCAAAGGGAAGACACAAGAAAAACAAAAATGAAAGAATTTACATCATGTCATGTAAACTTCTGGATAAAAGTTAATGCTAAATCATTTTATTACACTGGTTATGAAGACATGGACAGTTTTGACTATATTAATATA